ACAAAGAAAGGGCTGAGGTGACCCCCTCCTGAGGCCGCTGGTGGTCCCCTCTGTGCCAGAAGGCAGCGCCTCGCGGCGACTAGAAATAGCGACATAGATGTTAGACATTAAGAGTTTTTAAATTCAACCTGATGTACTCTAATATTTGTCTGAAACTGGGTTTGGGTTTGGTTTTTTTTTTTTTACACTTCTGTATAGAATGTATTTCTGCTACTTTTTATTGTTTGTTCTAGAAGAGGAAGCCGGTTTTTATAACTGTAGCACACTTCAAGCTGTTGCGTTCGAGCACCGCCGTTCACAAGCGAAGGAGCAGTACACAATATTTGTGTGGGTCCGTGAACAGGCAGCTGCAGGGCCAGGGATGCTGTTCAAAACCCGCTGTTCAGCAGCAGCTTCACCTCGCAGCTGAGGAAGGTAACAAAACACCGGTTAAAATTAAACTTTTTTTAAAAAAAAACCAAACAAACAAACCAACCCTCCCTGACTGATGGAAGCGTTTCCCTTCCGAGGGCTTTCAGCTAGCCCCCCGCTGCCCTAACTTTTGTAGAGGGGTTTTCTACTTTGTCTCTTTGGCTATGAAGGATTCTCGCTCCGTGTCCTTTCCCTCAGCACCTGCTGGATGCTGAGTACGGTCTTAGCACGGGAACTACGCACTGGTAGCAACGTTCTCCCTGCCATCGATGTGATTTTGATAGTGTAGTTTAATAAAATGTTATGGTGCTGAAATAGATCTGCTTTATTGGGAGAGGGTTGGGTGGTTTTTTTTTTTTGTTTTTTTTTTTGGTGCTAGGAATGAGGCTTTTCATGCCCCAGCTCTGCCTCTGCCCTTCAGCTCCTAAAGCTCCGCGCAGGCAAAGGGGGCTCCGGAGGAAGCGCGTGGTGCAAGCGCCCATATTCACCGTTAATCTGCTGGGACTTCGTAAGGAGGAGGTGGGTGCCAGTAAAGGAAAACTTATTCACAGCCCTCAGGCCGTGTCTTTTCTAGAACATCCACAAGCGGCTGAAGCAGAACCAACTACGGGAAACAACTCTTGCTCTGTGCTGTAAAGCACCCCTGTGCTTTTTGCATCATTTGCTTTGGAAAGGAAAGAAAAAAAAAAGGGGGGGGGGCGGGGAAGCAATAATTGATACCAAATCCCTGTTCCCTTATCGCCGGGTCATTTCACCCCGAGGGCTGATGCTAGGGCTGGAGGGTGAGGAGCTGAAAGTCGTTAATAGCCATGTTTTACTGTCGCTGTCTTAAGACACAGCTGCACACCATTATTTTCCTGAAGCTGAAGTAACCCTCTTCTACTGCAGAGCCAGGCCCACCTCCCTGAAAGGGCGCAAGGGAGGGCGCCCGGCGCGAGCACTGTTAGAGGGGAGGCAGAGGAGCCGGAGCGTGGCATAAACACCTCCCTCCACCGTGAGAGCAGCAGAGACAACTGCTTTCACACAAATAGGTTCTCCCTACCCCGATAAAGCGCCGCAGGCTTACAGTGCAGCCTCATTAAGGCTTTTCCTTTACGGAGAAGGCTCTTTTCTAAAGAAAAAGGGGAAAAAAAAAAAAAAAAGAACTTTTTTTGCCTGGTGGAAAAGCTGGAGTCTGGTCACACTGAACTTTTTACCATCCCCGTGTGCTGAAGGGTAACAGCCCAGCAAGGCCCCAGATGGCTCTGTTGTTTGGGACATCTCCGGGTGTCCGTACTGGGCTCGCTGCCCCAAAGGTGAGCGCACGCTGCGGTTCCCAGGCAGTGTGCTCCTCCGCAGCCTCCCGCGTTGAGGCCCTGCTGCTATTTCGTGGCTATTTAACAGATCCTTAGTGCCAGGCAGAGCACAAAAACTCTTTGGAAAAGCGTTCAGGTGAAGGGTCTGTTCCAGTTACAGCTTCTCAGGGATGCAATATTGTTTCTGTGAAGCACTGCACCCAGGGATGGAGCTTTGGATACGCGTTTCTCCCCAGAGCAGAGGCCAAAAGGAGATGTAAGCAGAGAGGTGAGGCAGGGCCACCTCACCCCGAGGTCAGCGTCTGCCTGAATTCACGGGCGTTGCAAATACAGCTCCGATCCCGACAGCACGGGGAGGTGGCTGCCCCACTTCGGGTGAGGGCCGGCTGCAGGCTTCCAGGCCAGGGACCAGGAACATTAACCACAAATCCCAGCTCTGCAAGAACCATCACACTAACGAGATGTTAATTGGCACTTTATCCTTTCATTTTTTTAAGCAAGCCGCTCTCGTACCACAGGATCTCCTCTCACTTCCACGTTCTGCTCCACCCAGAGCCCTAGCAGGTAGCCTTAGAATGCACCTTTGCCTCAACCCAAGATAACGATCAGCTGAACTCAAACAGTTTCTGCAAGTTTAAGAGGAAATCCAACTCCCTCATGCCGATGCATGAGCCGCTTCCAAACCCCGTCAGCCTGTAACGCTCCCGAGGCAGATGAGGAAGGGTTTTGCAGGGAGGACAGTGAGCAGTGGAGGGCTCGGTATGATGAACTCTTCTAGGAAAAGCAGGTTCTTCCCAGGGGAAAGGCATCCATTACTGGGGCTTTCCCTCAAGACAGGGGGGTGAAATCACAGAAAATTGCCTTAAAAAAAAAAAAGGTTTCACATAGCCTTTCACGTAGCTTCTGGGAGCTGACACCGCTCCGGCGGGGCCTCCTCTCCACCCACAAGAGCTCCGAGCAAGCGGGGACCTCATCCCACAGCGTCCCCCGGCTCCGAGCTGGCAGCAGCGGATTCTCTCCCCCACGGGCTCCAGCACCTGCACCAAAACGCAGCCCAACCCTTCCGAAGCCGAGGGGAGGTTTGACAGGGCCGGCACGCGCTCGGCGCGATCCCGCACACACGGTACTTCCTACCACCAGTCTGCACCGGGCGCCAGACCTTTCACAGAACTTAACAACTCTTGCTTTCTGTACAGTAATTTTATTTAAATCAAGTTGTTTTTACACTAATGCCTCAGTGCGTCCTTTAAAAGGAAAGGAAGTATTTTCTTTAAAAAGTATTTGTACATTAAGACAACAAAATCGTAGAAATGAACACAGTGACATCAACACTCCCTAGAACATGCACAGCTGTACACTGAACGGTGGCTGTAAGAGGAGGAGGGGAGAGGAAGGCAATCTTTCTCTACGCTCTACATTTGATGAATGCAAACAGAAACAGCCGCCCGCGACCGCCAGAACCCCTGGCGCTTCCTGGCTATCAAGATCCCGTTACCCTTAGTTGAATTTCAGCCTCGTAGAAGACAAACCCGGACGAGCGCGCGAGTTCAGAGGAGAGCTCCTTACCTGGCGCCGGCTGGGGAGCTCCAGGGTCAGCGTAACGCTCGCCCGGAGAAGCAGGGGAGGGAGCAGCAGCCCCCGCCCCGGGTCAGCCGCCCAGTTAAGCCTCCCCTTCCCACGCCCTGGCGGCTCCCACCCGCTGCGAGAAGCCGCTTCCTTCAGCCAAAAAGGTGCAGCGTCCTTTGGAGACCGCCTGGTGCTTTTATGAGATTTCCCTCATTTCCATTTCGTCTCTTGGAACGCAACAGAAGCCCCTGCCCCCCCTCGGCCAGAACCAGTCCGACCCTTCAGGTGCCCGGGGGGGCAGAAACAGCTTTGGCAGCTCCCAGCGGCCGGCAGCTCCGTCCCTGCCCTCCGACAGGAGCACCTCCGCCGCGTACCTGCCCCTACATTTGGTTATTAGCCTCAGGTTTGGTTTGGCTTTTATTTTCAGAGTTCATGATACTACATCCTCCGAAAGGGCCTCTTGCCGTCGGCCCATGGCAAAAGCAAGCGCCCCGCCGACCCGCTGTCCCTCCCCTGCCCTGGGTTTGCAGCCCCCACCTTGAGCGCAGAAGCGCAGGCAGCAGGAACCTGGCACCTCCTCAAGGCAGACTGGCCCCCGGGTTCACCTTAGCAAGTGATAACGTTAGTATTCCGTTTAGTCCACCCTCAAACGAAGAACAGGAGAAATAACGTGAGAAAGCAGATACGTTACTGCAACCTTAGCTATATGCGACCATCTCCTTTACTGTATTGATTTAGCCACAAATTAAGGGGGGAGGGGGGGGGAGATGAGGAAGAAGTGAGGATGAAGAGGCAGCCATTTCAAAATGCTGAGGTGACCCAGCACCGTCTCCTCCCACCTGCAGAAAGACCTCCAGGAAAAGGGAGATTTCACCCAGAAGCAGCACCTACGCCTCTCGGGGCACGAAGCCCTCGCCCAAAAGCCGTTCCTTCTGTGACGCTTGCAACCTCGACGTGCCGAAACGCTACAGAACCACCCGGGGCCGGAGGCGCAGGGAGAGGCACCCGGCTCGCCAGCGTTTGTAGAAAAAGTGGGAAGTCCCCCCCCCTGTACGCCCATCCTGTCCCCCCCGCCCCGAGCGGCCCTCAAGGGGGTCCCCTCCACGGGGAGGACGCTGCTCCCGGCGCTGTGCCCCCCCCGGACGCTCACACGGCAGCGCGAAGCTACACGGACACAGGGGCGAGCCATGCACACAACCCCGCAGAGCTGGAGGGACTGCCCACCCAGCCGAGAGGGGTGTAGTTGGGACAGGAAAAGAAACAACAGAACAAAACAAAACAAATCCCTTCAAGTAATTTAAACCAGCCCATTCTCGAGGTGACGGCAGCAGAGCAGCAGTGACCGGCTGGGCCTGTTCGGGGTGATAAGGCAAAAAAGTCTGAAGTCCTGGAGGGATGGAGGAATGAGAAGGTGTCAGTAGTGAAAGATTAAGAGTTATCCTGTAGGTTGCTTCTTCACACTCCTGTGATTCTCATCTCCAAGTGACCCGCACCAGCTGCCTCCAGTTACTTCTGCACACAGCTTGGCCAGGCGAGCCCGCCGCAGGCAGCCGACAGGATGATATAGATGATAACCTGGAGAGAGAGAAGGGCCACCTCAGCACGGAACCCTACGGCCATCCCTCGGCCGACTGCCGGCTTGGCCGGGCAACCCAAACGCAACCCGGGGTTTCCCAGCGTATCGAAACCCCAAATAACTCCTGAAACGCCCTACAGGGCTTTGTGGCTGTGCCTCGTCCTCCACACCCTGGCAGCAGCGCGGGGAGGAGAACCGTGCTCCAGCGAAGGGCGGTGACAAAGTACGTCACACAGCCAACCTGCAACCATGCTTCAGCATCCCCACCTGAGCACGGTTTGTGTTTGTTAGAGGCTGGGGGTACACCCTCACGTGGAAATAAAGCTGCTGCAAAGCTCAGTCACAAGGCTCCAACAGGACCGAGGCCGAAGCAGGCAGAGCAGCCGTCAGCCCCAGCCCTTGGCTTCTACTGGAGCCAGCAGAGCAGCTGCCTGTGACAGGCATGGAGAAGCCAGACGGTGGGGCCTGGAAAACTTCTCCCGTCGCTGCTGCCCCGATGCTCCTCTCTCCCCACCTCACACAAGACCATCAAAACATCTTGGTTTACAGCCAAGACCCTCCCGGGCACAGAGCTGAGCTGACGCAGGTCTAAGGACAGTAATACGCTGTTGGTGTTTTCCAGTAGTTAAGCCTGACTTAAGGTTATCGTGCTCCACACTTACAATTGATACAATGATGATGACGATGGTAAGCTTGAGGTTCTTCATACACATGGCTCTAGCGAGGTTCCTGCTGGTAGTTTTGAAAGTGACTGACTGCAAAAGAAAGTAAAACCACCAATTAATTCCTGGACCTGCTGCGAAGGCAGCGGCACGCCCAGGGCCTCGGCGAGGAGGCTCTTCCCAGCTACCACCTCGCTAACACCCCAAACCCCTGCCGGTATCCCCTCCAGAGCCGGCTGACTCCTGCATTTACACCAAGACACAACTGAACAGGCATCAAGAAAACTGTCCCCACACCGCTTTGGGGCTAGATAAGTCTAACCAGCGCAGGGGTGCGCCTTCCCACGCTCAGCTTGGGAGAATTAAACCCAGACCGTGCCTAGGTCCGCAGGCTGCCCACAAGGACCTTACAGCACTTCTGGTCGGGCTCTCGTTTGCCTTCCAACCTCTCGAGAATTGAAGCGCTCCGAAATATTTAAGGCACTACTGATCTAATCTCCGACCTGTTACACACAACTTCATTACCGTAAATCCACCTGCTAAAACCCGTATCGCTGCTCTTGACCGCGCTTCCGCCGGGGCTCAACCGGTCCTTCCGTGCTAGAACTTTCCTCCGGTATTCGGGCTTGCTGCATTTTATGGGAAGTTTGCGGTGGCCCTGTTCCAAGTCTCCGCTCCCTGTCCTGCAGTTCCACCCATCCAGGGCAGGTTTGGGCCACCCAACGCCCTCGAGCACCCACCAGGCTGTGTTAGTGCAACCGTTCTCACCCGCTTTCCCCGAGCGGCTCGCGCAAGGATTCGCCTGCCCAGAGAAAGGCGGCAGCACCCGAACAAGCCAACTCAGCAGCACGCTCTGCTGGTTATTTTCCAGGTTTTCCCCACAAACCACCCCTCGACTTTTTCAGGTAAGGCTACAGCAGGCAGAACTGCATCCCCCTGAACTGTAATTTCGACTTAAAGCCGATTCCCACGCTCAGCCACCAGCTGGACTTTGGGCGCGCTTCTCTTGCTCAGCTTTGCAGTTCCTACCTGTGGCTGCAGGACACCAGCACGCCCCAGCTCAGCCCAGCTTGTTCTCCAGAGGACAGGGCTACTCTGACCACCAGCTGCCTCAGAGCTCCCTCCCAAAAGGCGGCCCTTGCCACTGTTTCTAGGAGGGTTCTAACACACTTGGTTTATCTACAATATTCTGGTGGTCAGGCCTCATACAGGAGTGATAAAACACTTAGTCTGAAGTCTGAGAGCTTCAGGCCTGGGTCTCCTGGGACGCTCAGCTTTGGGCTCTCAGACAGTCACACCAGAGGCATGGCCCATTCCTTCATTCTCTGCATGGTTTCCAAGAACCAGCCCTCCCTGGGAGAGCTCGTCCCTGCATTCAGCCTAACTGCCGAAGGAACTCCAGTCCGTTTGTCCAAAGCACGCCCTGAGGTTAGGCCACCTCCTGCCCCCACCTGGGGAGTGGTAGGGTTTAACCACCTGGTAGCTGGGGACTGCACTCCCTCCTGGCTCAGCTCCAGGCATCTCCACTGCCTCTTGAAAGCACGAGTGCTTTTTGCTGGCTTAGAGGTGTTTGGATCTCCACAAGCCCCACGCAGGAGATGCCGGCTCTCCGCTGGGCTGAGGACTGCCTTCCGAGGGGCGGGTGCCAAAGGAAATGGGCACCAAGCTGGGACTCTGCAGAGGAAGATGCAGAGCCGGGTCTAGAAATTCCCAGGGGAAAGACGACAAAGCTTCCAGAGTGTACGACCCTTGACTAGGTAACATAATGCTTTGTAATTACGGTAATTCTGGTTCTTTCAGTCTTTGCTCCCTTAGAAACACTCCCTGAAGCTCCAGAGTCCTGTACAGACTATTTAGGTGGAACAATTCAGCTTTTTTTTAAATCAGCCACACTTTCCCCATTGGCATGCTAGAACAACTCTACAGGGTAACGTATTTCCAGTTTATCTGCATCAAGCTGACTTCGGAGCAGGCTGCAAGGGAAGTTTTAATCATGATCTCTAGCTTTCCTCTCGCTCCAGATAAAGAATGGGTTTTGCCCCCGACTCGGGCACAAGAGATGAGGACAAGGAGCACCCCCACTTGCACGGGCAGCGTGTTGCCTGCGCACTGGCTGCAGCGAACAGGAGCAAGCTGAAGACAGCTCTTTACCAGGACGGGGCAGGAGGTGGCTGGTCCTTGGGAGCAGGGCATTTATTTGCCCAGCAGCACGGCCCGCTATTTAGCAGTCGCCCACAGATCCCACCAGTGCCGGCGGGATACAGAGCAGAGGTGCAGGGGGTACCTTCACTCTCTGAAGGGAGCTGCAAGGCTTCCCTGTCTGTTGAAAAGCGGCTCTAGATGCTGCTCGTCACCTCCGCTGCTCCCCACGAGCACAACCGACGCAGTAACACGCTTTCCCCGTTTCCAAGTTCATCCCCAGACTTACCGAATCCACAAGATTCTCTGTTTTATCGATCAGCAGCTCCAGCTTCTCTCCTCTTTGTGCCACAAGGTCTGGAGAAAGAGACAAAAATCCAAACCTGTAGGTGGAATCCCAGCGCAAAAAGCCGCTTCCAACACCCAAGCCCACCTGCGCGCCAGGAGCTCTTGGCAGTGGCTTGTCAGGCACCAAGTCCTCGGCCTTTCAGAGACTGCCAGGCAACAAAACTCGGGAAACAGTCTCACATCACACAGGCCACGTTTTGGGACTGACCTGACTCAATTTTGGTCAGTTCCAGAACTAACCTTCTCTTTGAAGCGGTCAGACTTGTCAAAACCCGAATCAGAGTCTGACACACAGATAGGAAAAAAAAAAAAAAAAAAAAAAAAAAAAAGAGAGAGAAAAAAGCAGCTACCGAGGAGCATTTTCCTGACAGCAGCTGCAGGAAAGCCACAGCGGCCAACAGACCGAATCGGAGCGTGCTTCACCCCATCGCAGGCTGTGCAAGCGCACCCCCGTGCTCCTCACGCCCACGCGCCACCCTCAGCCGAGCTCAGCGCCAGTAACAGCTTGCCAACTCGGAGCTCCTCCAGCCCCTTCTTCAGCAGCTCATCCTGTCGAGAAGAGGCCACCCCACCATCAGCTTCGCTCTCGGTAACTCTCCCCGCGGGACTGCCCCTCTGGCCCGGAGGAGCTCTGCACGCGTGGCGCTGAGGGAAGCCAGGTACCTATGTTTCGAACCATGATTCCTTTCAGTTCATCAATTTGAGCTTGCGTCTCTGCCACCTGGTCAGTGCCCTTGCTCTCCGAGTGGTATTTCTGTAACAAATGAATAGTCAGTGAAAGCGGGGACCTTCGACGTCACGCTTCAGTTCCTTAAGACAAAAAAAAAAAAGAAAAAAAAAAAAATTCCTGGTCGCTACAGAACAGCAGAGTCATAAACGTGAGATTTCAAATTCCCAGAGACATTTATAAGTGGGTAGTAGAGCAAAATCTGACTTTCGCAGCCTCTTACAGATCATACAGGCCCATCTGCTCCTGCACCGCGGGAGCCGCAAGGCAGCCGAGTGCCTGCAACTTCCCGAGTGCCCAGAAATAACAGCCCCCTTCGGAAGCCTAAGCAACTGGCAGCAAGGAAGGGAAGTTAAGACAAGAATCGGAGAGATACGGCTCACTAAATGCCTGGGCTGCTACCAGTGGTCCCGCTCCCACACATCATTTCTGAAGGCAACACGCTTGCACGACCTTCTCTACTTCTCTCTAGAAGACGTCAAGAGAGCCCTGCAATTTCACAAGCAAGGCAGCACGCGGCCGTCTCTGCAGGTGAGCACCAGAGGGAGTTCCAGCAACGGGGAGGAGGGCCTGCGAACTGGAAACACCACACCAGGAGATGCTGAGGGCGGCCAGCTTGGGTTGCCGAACTGCTCTTCCCAACACAAGGAGCCAGGAGCCAGCCTGCCGTGTACCAGAGCCACCCAGGAGGATTTCACACGCCACCTCCTAGCTGCAGTCTGGCACTTGCCGACGGCTTTGCTGATCCTGAATCCCTCTGGTGTACGACAGCAAGCAAAGAGGCGTGCCCCCGACACCCCAGCGGCGCGCTCAGCGCCTGTACGGAGCAAGCTCGCCCACCAGCCTGCCGGGTACCTGCAGGAGCACGCTCCGGTCCACGGCCTCACGGAAGAAAGCCAAAAACCATGACGTGGTGCTAACCTGTGCACCATTCCTCTCACCCCTCTCCCCCTTCATTCTTCAGAAGTGACGGGGCCTTCACTCAAAGACTGTCCTTCAGGTTTGGGGATGGCGAGTAGGACTTCGGCGGCCGCGTGGTGCAGGCTGGCAGGCGAGGGAAGCGCTAGCAACACCCGCAGGTTAAAAGGAGTCAGCGTTTGCAGAATCAACGAGGGAAACGGAGGTGAAGCCAGAATTGGATAACCAAGTGCTGCTACCCCTGGATTGATTTTAAGTCCCTGCTCTCATCACAGGTCCTTTGCAGTCAAGCACTGCCAGCCACAGCTCCTGTTGCCCCGCTCCCTGTAAGTCACCCTCGCCCAGGGAATCGGGTCTCTATGGCAAAACTCTTGCTCTCCTCTGAACCCGCAGCCATTGCACTCGCACCTGAAGGCCTTCCCGAAGCACCTCTGCTCTAATCAGAGGAGACTGACATCTAAGGAGACTGACAGCAGAGGCCAGGGCTGGTTCACAACTGCTCTACTTGATGACCACCCACCCAGCTGCTGAAACCCCAGTTTTCCTCCGAATAAGCGTTGGATTTGCACCCATTTCTGACAACGTGGGAAGCAGGAGGCTCCAACACGAACAGCATTCACATGCTCGGGTCGTAATTAACAGTTATAGCACCGACTGCAACAGCTCCTTTGAACCTTCTCCTCCGAGGTTAGCTTTGTCGAAGGTGCGGGACGGGCGTGCTATCAAAGCTGGTCCCTGGTTTTCCTGGAAGCGCAGCTCCCTTTGCAGTCTTATCCATGTGCCACACTTGAGTTGTGGCGTGATCTCCGAACTGCTGCGTGATCTCCTCCTCCACCCTCAGCCTCACACTACTTAAACTCCGTAAGGTACAGGAATCACCTGGAGGACAGTCCTGCTCTCGCGCTGCATGCGACGTTTGGCCTTTCATCTCAGCAAGTTTTAGAGCCATTTTGAGGGAAGAGCTTTCTGTCATCACTTAACTGCTATTAGGGGATGCCTGGATTGCTATCAATATGCAAAGGCTAAGGTAGGCAGCTCCTCTCGTCCTTTGGAGAAATGGGAGGCTGGGGTTTTTAGAGGATTATCACCACCATGGCTCCCAAGACCGCCTGGCTCTCCCGATAAAGCAATTCATTAAGTGTATTCCAGCCATGAAGAGCTCAATCTGATGAGTCATCACTTCATATAGTTTCAGGCTCCACATATCAACGCTTGGCGGAGGAGAAAAAACTCGATCCTATCAGACATAGGAAGTTAATCTAATTTATCATGCACAACACATTGGGCCCTTCTGGAGCCTCGCTGGCGTTATTACTCATTGCTTCCTATCTGCTGTGTAAGCCAAAGAAGAGTTTCTGCAATGAACTGTGTGAAGCTCTACGTGCCCCAAACCCCCTCCACTGCTCACCGAGGGCACCACCACAAACGGCTCCTTTCAAACTCCAATACAAACTTCAGGCAGCAACCGCGCAAGTGCAAATCCTCACTTATCCTTCACCCACCGCAGAGCCCTGGCTCCCCCCTGCACCTCAACCTGCACGCATTACTGCTGGAGAGTGTTACAGAGCTTGTCTGGCTCCTACACTCACGGGTAAGAGCTCTGCTTACAGGTCACCAGCGAAGGGCCTCTCCTCCTGCTGCTGTAACATCACCAAACCTGGCACTTCCAGTGGATCGGCAGAAAAAAGCCAAGCCCTTCATGGAGAACAGCAGCGGCGCTACCATGCTCACCAGCCCCAGCAGAGCACATCGAGAACATCCTACACCACCTGCACAGCACCAGCTGTAGCTGCCCAGATACAGACTGCGTACAAGCTCCAAAAGTCAATACTCCAAGGACATCTTATCTTTAATTCAAGAGAGGTCTCAAAAAACCCCCAAAACCAACCCCAAGCCAACATTGCTCAGGTTATAAAGTTGTCTGTAGTCAGTTAAGGACTCTTTAAGAGTCTTCAAGAGAGTATCAAAACACTTTCCTCATAGACCATATAGCCTGAGGTTTTGGGCGCTAAGGCAGCTATCGATCATATGAGTCACAGGGCAGTTACCTATTCCTTCTCTATCTTCCATCAGACTTCGCTCATTTAATTTGACATCACGCCTAGCAGCAGGCCCGTGCTGTCCCCAGGCCCGTGCTGTCCCCAGGCCCATGCTGTCCCCAGGCCCATTTTCTCTGCAGGTGCTGGAAGCCGCAGACCCAACACAGAAGAACTGCAACCTTCCCACTACACCAACAGCTCACACTTGAAGAGCAGCCCAATCCCACACCCAGAGCAACTGCTCCTTGCTTTTTCTCCTCCTCTCCCCCCCGAAGAAGCCCCACTGAAGCAGGGCAGGGTGTTGCTTGCAGACCCAGGTTACACATCAAGTCAACACTGCATTAAGAAAAAGCGCCCTGGGAAACGCATCTCATTCTGTGGAGGGCTGAATGGAAATGCAAACACGACACGGCGCACTTAAATACTTCCGAAGCTGTACCCCTATCCTGCTGTGCATCACCGACATAAAGCAATACGACTGTTTCAAGTCTCTCCTGTCTGGCACTTGTGGGCTTTGCCGTGCCTCAAATACACCACTCAGCAAGCAAAGCACTTTTGTGAAAATGGGACGGCAGCATGGAGGCTGGATCAGATTCCTGCGGTAAGCACGTAACTCCTCTGCGCTTCACGAGGGGAGCGGATTCCAGCCCAACCTTTCCCTTCAGGAGTCCAAGAACAGACCCAGAGTAGCTGGAAGAGAGTCCTCGGAAACCTGGAAATTTCTTAAAAAGGAGATTGACAGTGTTGTGCATGTGCCTGAACGACAACGTTCAGAACTCAGCTTTAGCCGAGCTGCCAGCGGGGCCGGTGACATCAGCCAGCACAGGCCACAACACCGCAGGACAGCGGCGCCGGCCGGTTCCAGCAACCGAGAGCAACGTGCCATGCTGCCAGCGGGAAAGCTGGGCCAGACTGCTCCCTTCTCACAGCGCAGGAGAGGGGTGCCAGGACACCGAGCTGTGCCAGGACACCGAGCTGTGCCAGGACACCGAGCTGTGCCAGGACTGGGTAAGCACTACAGCAGTGGGCAGGAAGACACCTCAGGCCGCAGGCAGCTCCCCGACGGCCGCTTTCCTCGCTGCAGCTGAGCTTGCAGCACTGCACCAAGGCTCTGTCCCACAGCCCTTCCCACGCTGCTGTTCAGTGCCTGCACAGACCCCGCTGACACGGGCTTCATCTTCCTTCCAGACTGCAGTTATTCCAGCAGAGCAACTCGTCTTGCAAAGACTGCAGTGCCTACGGTCCCCAGACTTGGAATCCAGCATCGTCCTAAACACCACGAACAGCCTCAGCTGCAAAGCGCGAGTGGAGGGCGATACAGATATTCCCCTCGCTCTTGTAATAACCCTCACACTTTTAATTTTGGGAAGGGTCCAAGGCAAATCTCAGCTCAGAGACCATAGGCCCTTTCACAAGTTATTTATCCTGCTCTTTAACCGCCTACCTATCTTGGGAATGGAAATCCTTGGAGCCTCTGTGCGAGCTAGCTGGGAAGTCTACCATGGTTCTGTACACAGCACTTGACCAAGTCCAGTTTTCTTTCCTCCTGAAAAGGATGCGATACCATAAGCAAATACCCTGCCACACTCCAGCAGCGTGCTACTGAAACGACCGTGAAGTAAGAAGGAGAGAAGTGAGAGGCGGTTAGGGATTACGCGATACTCCAGTTCTGAGAATCGGAGTAACGTGCGTTTGCCGCGCTCCTAGTGACAGTCAGTGAGGTCAGCTTGCGCTAGGCGGTCAGCTGGAACTAGGTTTGACATGGAAAATATTACCATTAAGACCTAATCTCCAGTGCAGCGGCCCAGTACAAACAGTTAACGCATCGCTGTTAACCCCAACCCATTTTTCCCCCCAAAGCAGTGAAGCAGCCCAGCTGCAGGGGAAGCGTGGGGAGAAGAGCCAGCTCCCCTGGCTTTACACCCAGACTCAGCATGGCGCTTCGCTTCCGAGCGAGACAATACAAGAATTTCCAGGGAGAAGTTTGGCTTGTGAGGGAAAAATCCCATTTAGCAACATATCTCACCAGCTGTGCAGCTAAGACACTTGAGAACTCGCTGTTCATTGCATAGGGGAGGGCCGTCTGTGCTCTCGAGCCATACGTGGTCTGAAACCTCTTCTTGATTTCATTCAGGAAGTTGAAGGCTCTGGATCGTTCAAAGTCCTGGAAGGAAGAGAGCAGACCACATCCAGAGCTGTGTCAAGTCAGGAATAATGAAGCGTACGGGGCACGTAACCGGTTGCAGAGAAACTGTAATTGTCAGCTCTTAACAGGCACGCTGCACCTCACACCATGGGGCTTGACCGGTTGGCCTGGGGTTCGAATAGCAGCCAGGTTTCAGCCTCAGCAGACTTCACTGGGGTACCCATGGTTCTAATTTTGTGCCTGGTACCTTTGTCCAGCAAGGAAGAAGCTTTTGCTTCAACACTTCCAGAATTGAGGAGTATTACGGATATTTCACTGACAATTTGAGGCTAGCCTCTACATCTGGGATCTACTGCATTAGGGCTGCTAAGAGAGAAACCAGGCAAACCCGAGAACTTAACCTCCAAACCACCTATTCACACGCACTGAGTTCCAGGCTCAGACCTCAAAGCTGTAACTGATGTGAACGGGAACACAAGCAGTAGCTCTAATGGGAAAAAAAAGGCACCTCAGCTTAGCACCCACTATTGATTTTTGTTGACATGCAGATACAAAAAAGGCCAAAACCTGCAAAGAGCCTGTCTGTGCAATAGCTGTAACCAAAGCACTTACATCATCTGTGATGCAGAGGTATATAATCCTGTCTTGGCAGATGTAATGGAACAGATAACTGCAGAGAAGAAAAAAAAAGAAAAAAGGGTCATTTGGAGCTGCCACAGGACTCATCTTCTAGAAGACACCACTGCTTGCAGGGTCTTCAAGGGCTGGAGAAGTAGAAGAGCAAATTCCAGTTACTCTACGGGAAATCACACAGATGCCAACAGATCCCAGCCGCCTTTGAGCTAAGTGTCTCCATTCCTATAAGCTACACTGAATTAGAAACCACCTACATGTTAAAGAATCCCTGGCCTCGCACCCTCCACAGCGCTCCACGCTTAGCAGTAGCTTTTTGGGACATCTGGTTGCCAACCAACTTCAGTTCCATGTTCTTCCAGCTACTTACTTGTAAAAACCAAGCCTTGGCAGGATACCCAGGGATAAGATTTGTGCCTGATCCTAACCAATGTACATACAAGCATCCACACACCAGTTCACGTGTGCCAAGAGCTGCTGTTAACTGGGAGTGACCAGCCAGGCAATGTTTTAGTGAGCCTTGCTGGTGCAGTGACTTGCTGCTTTAGCCTTGTTTGCATGACCACTGGGCTGCGCTGCCTTTGGGTTTCATTGCAAAGGCTAAGAGACAAAAGCAACCACAGCAGAAAACGAATTAGACAAAATAATAATCACGCTAAACAGACTGGAACCATGTGGCCAGGTTAACTGCTGGTGTAAGGATGCCTTCGATGGTACTGAGCCAACACAGGTGTTAAACGCAACCCTCAATACCCTGAAAAAACAGTGCAAACCAGTTCAAAGCAGTATTTTCCTACCAAAATTAAGCCAAGCCGTTATTTTAGGCCCACCAGGAAAGAAAAACCTTAGCCTGTACACAACTAAACCCAACCCAGAACTGATCAGAGCATTCTAGTTCAACTCACTGGCTTTAGCTGTTGCTTTTTTATTACATTGCCCCCTCATCACCATTTGCCGCTCCGGCAGGTGATGTATTCTGATGAGCACAGCAGGACAAAATAGGAACAGAGTTACAAAAAGACCACAGGAATACTTCTTTTTAATTCTTTTTCTTTAAAAACTCTGCGTGTCCTTTCGCGTTGACATTCTGTGATTCCCAAAAGTTTCCCCAGTGAGCGTGTGGACCCTCTTACAAACTCCAGAACAGCAGCGGGTTAATGCCCGTGCTGCGCAGCAGTCGCCTCGCACAGCTCTAGGGGCACAGCTCGGCAGCTTTCAAACTCAGGTTTTGTAGTATCTAAATAAGACAACACCGAAATAAGCTTTAGGGGTGGGCTAGAAGTAGTTTACTGCCCTGAAGGCCTGTTCTCATTTAAAAAAAAATAATAATCCCTGCATATCTGCAACTATTGCCCCTCCTTCCTGGAAGGAGAGAGGCAAAGTTTGTCTGGCACTGCCTTGCAGGCTCCCCAGTGACTTGTAGAAGAACCTTAACAGCAGGGACGGAATAACCCCAAGAACTCCTGATGCAAGAGGGCTGTTTTTCCTTGGAGATTATATAGAAGACCCACAAGTTCTTCTTAAAAACAAGAACTCCTGAGTTTAAGAAGTTCAAACAAAGTTAAAAGAGACTCAGGTTTTTCCTGTTTCATAAGGGAAATGATCCAAGACAGATAACCAGGCAGTTTTCTAGCTTACAGGCTGGGACCTGGCAAGGCAGAAGGATCCCTGAAACCTTACAGACAGAAGAATTACAACTCCTTGTGCTCACTCAGCTTCACAGCTTTCATGTTCTACTCAGTTACCATGGTCAAGGGAAACAAAAAAAGGCTATTCTGTACCTCTACAAACCAAACCCCTTGCTTTTTGACAGCAGAAAGAAGTTACCAGCTCTGAGCATGTGTGTGTGACAATATTCGATCCCCCCAGGCAGACGGCTGGGAACTCTTCCTTCCCCTCTCCTAGAGGGAAGGCAGGGTTGGCAGGGTCTGACTGCAGACGTGGTTGTCCAAATCACAGGAAACAAGCCAACGTAGGACTTGTCAGAAGAGACTGACTTTAGCAGAGGAGACGCTCTGCTGCTAAGCTCGGCGTCCAGAGCCGTGGAACGGCACCTGTGTGTTTTACTAGCACAACACAAAGCAGAACCACCACAAACTGCAGTGGTCTGCTGCCACATTTGTTCAATCCTCATTAAGGAAACAGCGAAGATCGTACACTTGGCAGCATGCTTTGCAAGCGTAGATGCATTAGTTACACATCTCTCAGTGCTCCCCAGCAAAGAGCAAACCAATCTCTACCACGATTCAAGTTTTCATCTGTAGAAATGCACTACGGCACTCCTAAAACTCCACTTTGTAGTTGGCTGAACAGCACTCAAGGCAAAGTTAAAACAAAAGAAAATAACTGCACCCTTAAAACTACAATAGGAAAAAAAGCCCCGACTCAACTGCCCCAATTCTTACCTCTTGAATCCTCGGGCAGCCAGAACAGCTTTAACGCAACAGCTTGGGCAACACTGAGCATCCAGCCACGCTGCCAATTCCAAAGACAGAGCTGAAGCAGGATCCAATGCTTCTAAATTTGCTTTCTCCACAATTCTTTCTTTAGTTTGCACACCAGCACATTGACTTCTCTACGTTACACATGCAATAAGGCAGCACAGGTGATGTGACATCTAATCCCTTCCATTCTACCAACACTGACCAAGGGCTGTTCAGAGATCTGTACAAGCCCGGAAAAAAAATCCTTCCGCCCCACAGACTGGATTTGTGGTAGCTCAGGGTGGCTCCACAACATCTGCCAGCACGACTTAAAGCAACTAGGGTCCACAAGCAATCTGAGAAGGGTGACATTTTTACTGAAAGCCATGTTCAAGCCTCAGAAAAGCCAGCAAAAGCCTCCACAAGCAGGCTATTCTGTACCTCTACAAACCAAACCCCTTGCTTTTTGACAGCAGAAAGAAGTTACCAGCTCTGAGCATGTGTGTGTGACAATATTCGATCCCCCCAGGCAGACGGCTGGGAACTCTTCCTTCCCCTCTCCTAGAGGGAAGGCAGGGTTGGCAGGGTCTGACTGCAGACGTGGTTGTCCAAATCACAGGAAACAAGCCAACGTAGGACTTGTCAGAAGAGACTGACTTTAGCAGAGGAGACGCTCTGCTGCTAAGCTCGGCGTCCAGAGCCGTGGAACGGCACCTGTGTGTTTTACTAGCACAACACAAAGCAGAACCACCACAAACTGCAGTGGTCTGCTGCCACATTTGTTCAATCCTCATTAAGGAAACAGCGAAGATCGTACACTTGGCAGCATGCTTTGCAAGCGTAGATGCATTAGTTACACATCTCTCAGTGCTCCCCAGCAAAGAGCAAACCAATCTCTACCACGATTCAAGTTTTCATCTGTAGAAATGCACTACGGCACTCCTAAAACTCCACTTTGTAGTTGGCTGAACAGCACTCAAGGCAAAGTTAAAACAAAAGAAAATAACTGCACCCTTAAAACTACAATAGGAAAAAAAGCCCCGACTCAACTGCCCCAATTCTTACCTCTTGAATCCTCGGGCAGCCAGAACAGCTTTAACGCAACAGCTTGGGCAACACTGAGCATCCAGCCACGCTGCCAATTCCAAAGACAGAGCTGAAGCAGGATCCAATGCTTCTAAATTTGCTTTCTCCACAATTCTTTCTTTAGTTTGCACACCAGCACATTGACTTCTCTACGTTACACATGCAATAAGGCAGCACAGGTGATGTGACATCTAATCCCTTCCATTCTACCAACACTGACCAAGGGCTGTTCAGAGATCTGTACAAGCCCGGAAAAAAAATCCTTCCGCCCCACAGACTGGATTTGTGGTAGCTCAGGGTGGCTCCACAACATCTGCCAGCACGACTTAAAGCAACTAGGGTCCACAAGCAATCTGAGAAGGGTGACATTTTTACTGAAAGCCATGTTCAAGCCTCAGAAAAGCCAGCAAAAGCCTCCACAAGCCAAATACCAAAGACTCCAACAGTTTGATATCCACAGCTGAGCACCCTCCAACTCACTTTGGAGTTGTACAAAAATAGAAAACTTGATTTCTTATCAACTGCCTTGGTGCTTATTGCTTCAGCTAAATTCAAATCCTGGTTATGCTGCAAAGTTCTGGGGAAAGAGAGTAGCTATTGAGCTGACCGCACGTTCAACCAGCCACTAGCATGTCCAAATAGGATTTTGGCTTCGCTCCATCTATTCCTATCCTCGTGCACGTTCATTGCTCTCTCCTCCCATACCCAGAAGAGAAGCATTACTCACTTCCCATGTGAATAGGTCAGTTTGTTGTTTTCAGATGGTATTTTCGCCAGGATCTGCTCTGTCACCTCCAGGAAGTTTCCTCCGCACCAGGCATGTTTGGCAAGGATGGTTGTGCCCCTTGCCACGACAGCAAACAGGATAGCCATGACTTCACGCTACCTGGAAGTAAAAACACCGCAAGAATTAGACTCCTTTGGCAGAGAAAGCATCATCTGAACAGCATTCTGTCAGCCCTCAGCACAGCGGGAGGGAGGCACACGCTTGTTCAGTACTTCGACAGGATACCATTATGAGAAAGCTGCTCTCATTTCCCCTTTTAGGTTCTGTTCGGAACGACACCAAGACTACAATAACCTCTAGAAGGTTTTTTCTTATTGCATGGCGTCCCTACAGCCAGGGGTCCCATAACAAATGTTGCCTGCCTTGTTTCCACCCAGATTTCTAGCTATTAGGACTTTTTTTTTTTTTTTTTTCTCTCTTCAACTGAGCCTTGAGTTTTTTCTTGCTTGTTATTGAAAAAAAACTGCCTGCAGCCAGCAAGCTCCAGTTCTGAAAGGAAGTAACACTGGCAGCGCTGTCAACAGCAGCTTATACAGACCAAGCCCACCATCCCTAACACATGACTGTCTGAGGGGTGAGGCCTTGGCTTTGATTGCTATCAAACTGAAGTAGAAAAACTGCCGCTCGCTTGGAGCCACACCATAAACATCCCCTTTTATTGGTCTAGAGACGCTCACTGAGCGTATGTTGTCCCAAGACTGCTGTAAAACCACATCATCTGCACTTCTCAAAGCGAGACAGCGCATTTGCGGATTGATTATCCTCAGCATCACACCATTTCTACAAGCCAATGTTCTTGCACACGTGCCGAACTGCACAGGTCGCAGCGTGCAAGCCTCGGAGGGCCACACTTCTGTGAAGTCTCCAGAGTTGGAAAAAACACGCCTGCTGCCATGTAAAGGGACACACTTAATCAGCTCAAGTATCATCACATTAATCCTCCGACAGACCCAAGATTTAACATGTGAAACCACATGTCAGAGCACCGCTGTGACATCTGCTCGGCTGATCCAGTCCATCCATAAGCCTCTTTTCTGCTTAGGAAAGACTTAGGAAGACTTTTGACCCTGCAAAACCCAAAAAATCTTATTTTTCACTTTGCACTTGACTGCCCTCGTATCGCCTGCCTCGTTTTGCATCTAGAAACATCTTCATTCTGACTGGAAAGATCGCACACCTATTTCAACGCAACCGAGTAGCTCGGAGACCTCGCTAGAAAGAGGTACAAGAGCGGAGCAGCAGTGGTTTAGCTTCAGGAGCCGAAGACCGCAGGCAGAAAGACTGAGCGTAGGCTATGCCCAGCCGGACTCTCCACCCCTCTGGCCCTGACTGAAGCAACCTATCGATCTCTTCTGTACCAGGGGTCAGGCCTACCAAGTGCCGAGCAGAGAGGTCTGCCCTGAAGAGCTTATGCTTTCATGTGAACTGATGCACAAACGATCACGGCAACGGTGGAAGAGGTGGCGGAGGAATGCAGAGCTGTTAACAAGGCCGTGAAGCCGAAGTACAATCACCACCCCACCGCATCGGGGCTGGCTTTGTCAGTCTGAGCTTGACAGATTCAGGCTTGGCCAGCAACAATCAGGTAATCTCCCAAACCCCCCGCAGGTTTAAGAGCTCAACATCGGAGGGGAAAAAGAATAAACTCGTGGATTTATTTAGAGACTAGGCTCCACGGCTAAGCTACAGCCACCTGGGAGCACCGAGGTGTTCAGAGCCAGCACTGCCGAAAGGAACAGAAGGCAAAGGAGGAGTTTGACGAGGGGCCATGGCAAGCAGAGTGGGAAGCAGAAGAGTAAGAGGTCTCGAAGGACACTGCTTCGGAGCGGAGCACCCAGCCAAGCGCGCTCTAGACAGCCCAAGAGAGTTCATAGCGCGGGTAAAGGGGAAGGGAGAACCCGCCAGCCAAAGCCTCACACCAAGCTCCCAGAGAAGCTGTTCTCCTTTGCTCCTCCTGCCTAGTGGGACAACAAAAGGGCCTCAATAACTACAGGGGGGAGGGCAGAGCACTCAGCAGCAGCTCCCCCAAACCCATTTTCTGCTTTCATTTCCTCCTGGCCAAAAGCTGGTGCTCTCCAACCCACGTACGTGCCCCTTCACTTCCACAAGGGCACAGGGAAAGCCCCTTGCACTGCTTTGCATGGCTCACTTCTCGTCTACTCTGTCTCAGAACAAGACCTGTTTTCAGAACAAAGGCAACTTGTTGCGTTGACCTGCTGCTCTTCTTGAGACAGCAGCTTCCCCTGTCCTCACTCACCGTGCCCAAGTATTCACACGCCCCTTGTTTCCCACCCACCACTCCCACCTAGGTGCCAACCTCACCCTGATACTGCCCAGGGATTTAAGCAACAGGATTTACATCCAGCTGACATGCTCGCACAAAATCTGTTAGGAAGAAGGAACGTGAGGAGCGCCCACGCTAGCAGACCCCCTTTCGCTACTGGTGAGGGAATTGGGGTTTGCAAACAGCAATTCCCCTGCCTCGTCCCCCTCCCTTCCAGGGCGAAGCAAGCAAACTCCAGCTCCTTTAAAAACTTTGGTACAAAGAGGTGACCAACAGCTGGCTTACCCCCAGTCACAGGTATGCTGGCTTGCAGGCTCACAACTGCCCTCTAACATCAATCCTGTCAACATTACAGAAAAAAACCCAAATTCTTTTATATCTAAGAGGAGATGATCATTAAACATAAATACAGGTGGTGCTTCTCATGGTGAATTAAGCAGTGTCAACATCCACCTGAGGATGATTCCAGAAGTTACAAACACAGCAAAGCAAGGGTAACAGTTTTTCCTCTTACACGCTTTCTAAGGGAACTCCTCAACACAAAGATGCCCAAGGAAAAAGAACACACAGCAGAGAAGAAAGCCGTGATTGCTCGCTATCTGTAAGAGAAAAATGAAACATTCAAGACCAGGTTCCAGCACAGGGAAGTAGTTCTACACACAAGGCATCCGCTGAAGCTCCCTCCCACGTGTTGTGGTGGAGGACGAGAGCTCACGTGAGTTCAGAAAGGAGGTGACAAGAAGTGATATGGATTGACATTCATAACACTGAATCACTCACTCCACAGAAGTTCAGGATTTTTTTTTTTCCAGGGAGAAATACTATGAAGAGCAGCCAGTATCTTCAAGCCGCAAAGCGGGTGGCCTGCCAAGTCAGACCCATGGTCCAGCCCCGGTCAAGGTTAGGACTCTCACGGTACTGGAGCTTTAGGGCAGCTCTTGCTCATCACGCTGCTCTTCACATACAGGAACAATTTCGATTTATAGAAAGGCCTACAAAGTCCCAGCGCTCCCCGTTTAGAGCAAGTGCCTTACAGGAGTTGAAAAACACGCTTCCAAGGCATCCTATCGTCTCTTGCAACACTGGAACCACCAAGAACATCACATGACAAGCAGGGAGCCAAGTCATTTGCAAAGCCTCTCAGAAGCCCGACCGCAACCTTTTCCTCCCAGCATCACTGAACCAGCCTGCCAGATCCCATCTTGCTGAGAGCATTTTAGAGCTGCCCCACTACAGAAAATCCAAACTTCCTTCCAGAAAGCTGTATCTAGAAGAGCCCACAGACTGGTCAATCTGCATGCACACAGCCTGCATGCACAAACCCTGTTTTGGGGTGCTCCCAGCACCCAGTTCCCTGACATCCTGCCACAGAAGACTTACGTGGCCAACCTAGCAGACCTTGCTTTTTTTTTTTTTTTTAAGCCAGCCTTAAATTGCTGCATCGACCACGTGTTGATTGCATCAGAGGAGGAAAAGAGCCATAGAGTCCAGTGATCTTTTGCTGCCTCTGGCCTTAAAAAGCTGCCCTCAGCTCTTCAAAGCACGGTGCTACAGCCATGGAAGCCTGAGGGCCACAAAGCAAGGCTCTAGTTCCCAAGGCCAAGACCCACCTACCTCTAGTTAAACACAAGCTGAACGAGTTACTAATCACAAGTCCACCCTCCACAGCCCTGAAGAGACACAAAAGCTTTAGCCTGATGTCCGCAAGATCATTTAATTTGGGAGTATTTAGCATTGAGCAGAAGCGGGGATTCCTCAGAGCTAAAACATAAAGGAATGGGTAACTCCCTGGGAGCTCCCTGCAGGAGCCACCACCTGAAGGAGCTGAAGCAGAAGAGAAGCCAAGAAAAAACACAGACCCAGCACGTTTATCGACACAGATAAGGCAAAACTAAACCTTGGGTAACTCAAGTTAAATGCTTATCACACCAGAGACACGGGCAGCCACACAGCTGATTCTGATCGGGCACAAAGAAATGATTAACTGCCATGCAACTGCTCCCGGTTTCACCCGAGTGAAGAGGCAGCACCTCGCTCCTGTCTGACGAGGTGGCAGAGAGCACAAACGTTTTCCCAGCAAAAAGCTAATGCCTGTGGCAAAAAAAAAAAGTTCCGACTGCCCAGCTCTTCACAAGTGATTCTCTACAAGCTTAGACTCATCCCCTATCCTACACCTTAGCTTTGACTAATTTAGCCAAAAGATGCAAATTACACAACCTGCAATTTATTCTGTTTTCTACTCACTCAGCGCCTGATCTCTTCAGGTGCCCCCAACCCTCGTTTCCCTAATGAGGAACAAGCAGCAAAAGTCAAAGAATTTGTGAGCAGTTACAACAGCACGCTGATGCGCAGCAACACCAACGAAACCAAGAGGAATTGATTATACAATCACGTCCCTTCAGATCCACCACGATACCGTCGCCTGCAGCATTTTGGCCAGTCCAGCAACTGAACCAGAGCGGTGTCGGTGCACGGTACGCCGCCAGGTCACAGCCAGGAATAAACACACACCACTAAGCCTCTTGAGCAATCAGGTGACTGCCGAGTATCAAGAAACCAATCTCTTCACGTTGCAGTCACTCAAAGAACAGAACCAATATAAAGGAGCAGTAGTAAAAGAAAAAAAACCCATCCACAAACCCTCCCCCTGCCACACAGACTGCGGGAGACCAGCAGCCTACAAGGCAGCGAGCGACTAACCTCGGAGCTGGAGAGCCCACACCAGCAGAGCCACCCCTTAATTCCCAGGCTCAAAGTGAGGATTATGAAGTGTTTTAGACAGCTTCTGAAAGTCTCCCTTCTTCTAATATTGGATATTTGCAGGACTGGCATTAGCGAGGCGAGAGCTCAGCAGTACCGTGAGTGAGGTGGCACTCGCTGACGCCGTGGGATCCCAGAGTCCTGCAGCAAGGAAACCACCTCGCTGGATTCACAGTCCTCAGCCGTACTGAGGAGACAACAGCCACGGCCCCCGGCTTTCGGGAGGATGGGTTAAATGAAGTAAAGCAGATTAACGAGGAGCGTATTCCTCTCGATAAGCAGCGTCTCACGCAGCCCTGTAAAACTCCTCTATCACTTTTGTTAGCAATACAAATATATTGAACTGCTAGAGAACATCTCTCCTCAGAAGCTGCAAGAGTCAGGAACTGCATCCACTAAAATCAACCCCCTTGTATAACCCACAGATCACAACTGTTTTCTGCCTAAACTTACAATATTGAATGGCTGGAAGTAGGCAAGACCAAACCTTCCTTAAAGAAAAACTCACTTTGAGATGTCAGGGAGGCCTTGCACAGGAGGGAAAAGGGAAAAAGGCTGCAGTCCTCAGCCACCCAGAAAGCACCGCGGATCCAAGGAGCTCCTCTGGCAGCGCCAGGAGCGCTTGGCAGCTAATGGAGACAAAGCACGAAGGCGACTCGAGTATTGCGTTTGTATCGCAATGCCTATTTACGCACTGCAAGTCACGCTGCAAGACGCAGCGTGCTGCTGTCTAGAAGGCCCCTCGCGGCGTTTGTCGGGCACAGAAAAACCTGCAGCATCCTAAAGAGTGTCAGCAACACGGGTTCAGCCTTCAACGCGAGGTTCAGAACTTCAGCAGGGATGATTTATTATTTGCAAGCGAGACACCAAGCGCCTCGTTCGTTGCTCTGACCTCACTGAGGACCTAGAATAAACCACGGGATGGCAGTTAAGCCAGCTGGGGCAAGAGGTGAACCCAGAAAACTGCGCCCATCCTCTACCAGCAGCACCGCCCCTGCCAGCCACGGGGGACTCGTCAGTTCTTTGTCCTGACCAGAAGATTCACAGCCTCGGTGCCAACAAGGGATGGAGGAGGTTACACGCAGCAACATTTGCAGAAATCCCCTGTACAGAAAAGCAAGGGGCATCGCGTTACTACTGCCTTTAAACATGAAAGAAGTGTAGGTGTTGCAACCCTGCAAGTTGCAAACTGCCTGACTGCAATAAGAAGATGGTTTAAGTACGGTTACTTTGGCGCAAAGGAGCCCAGACTTCCCTTTAACCCTTCCCTGGCACCTGCCAGTTGTTATTTCTTGATAGTCCAGCGTTAAACCCTGCCGTTTATTTGTTCGTTTTGAGCCCGAGAAGCGCGACATCCATGCACCAACCCAAGAGAGGTTCAGCTTCCCCCCTGCCTGCGCGGTGGCTTACTTCAGGTACCTCTGCTTCATCATTACGGAAACAAATCGCTCGGTAAGATTAATCCAGTGTCTCTTCCAGGCCCATAACCTTTTCTGGAAGGCAGCGGAACACCTTTTAAAAGGGGGGGGTAAAGAAACAGAATAGGGCAGCTACTGAATAAGCAGCTCCCTAGGGAGGCAACCCGGACACCCCAACGCACGCTTACTTACAGCACCCCCTGCAAGCGTCACCGCAAGGATTTATGGCTAAAAAAAAAAAAAAAAAAACCCCAAAAAAAAACACC